ACCTGCGTCTCCTGCATCGGCAGGCGGACTCTCAAGCACTGCGCCACCAGGGAAGCCCCACGTTTTTTTTCTGTTCCTTTGTTTTATTATTCAAACAGAAAGTCACAAAAATTATAATCATCCTCATCAGTTCACTCAGTCCCATGTAATTAATTTTTTTATCTTGATCTTTTGTTCACACTTTTATGAATTCATCAGTTTTCCATTAGAGTTCTGAAAATGCTTATTCATTCAGTTCAGCAGTATAGTCAGTTACCAGAAACCTGTACTTGTCAGAGTCTTATCCATGAATTCCTTGAAGATGAAACCCTTTCATAAGAACAGAGTACACCCAGAACTATCTCTAAATGGCAAAAGACTTAAAAATGACCACAGTTAAAAATTTGAAGAAAGTTCATAATAATGCAATTGACAAGGAAATTTAGTTATTTCTGAGATATACATTTTAAGGTAATAACTAGAATTATGACTTATAACATTATACCAGAACATATAAGATTTTTAGGAATTTCATGTAATATCTGAAAAATTTATATTAACATATTTCCATACAAATAAACCAAAGAAAGTTTAGTTTTTTTCTCTTTTTTTGAATTTTTGAATTTTATTTTTTTTATACAGCAGGTTCTTATTAGTCGGCAATTTTATACACATCAGTGTATACATGTCAATCCCAAGCGCCCAATTCAGCACACCACCATCTCCACACTCCCACAGCTTTCCCCCCTTGGCATCCATATGTTTATTCTCTACATCTGTGTCTCAACTTCTGCCCTGCAAACCAGTTCATCTGCACCATTTTTCTAAGTTCCACATACATGCGTTAATATACGATATTTGTTTTTCTCTTTCTGACTTACTTCATTCTGACAGTCTGTAGATCCAACCACATCTCAACAAATGACTCAACTTCATTCCTTTTTATGGCTGAGTAATATTCCATTGTATATATGTACCACATCTTCTTTATACATTTGTCTGTCAATGGGCATTTAGGTTACTTCCATGACCTGGCTATTGTAAATAGTGCTGCAATGAAGATTGGGGTGCATGTGTCTTTTCGAATTATGGTTTCCTCTGGGTATATGCCCAGTAGTGGGATTGCTGAATCATATGGTAATTCTATTTTTAGTTTTTTAAGGAACCTCCATACTGTTCTCCATAGTGGCTGTATCAATTTACATTCCCACCAAGAGTGCAAGACGGTTCCATTTACTCCACACCCTCTCCAGCATTTGTTGTTTGTAGATTTTCAGATGATGCCCATTCTAACTGGTGTGAGGTGATACCTCATTGAAGTTTTGATTTGCATTTCTCTAATAATTAGTGATGTTGAGCAGGTTTTCATGTGCTTCTTGGCCATCTGTATGTCTTCTTTGGAGAAGAGTCCATTTAGGTCTTCTGCCCATTTTTGGATTGGGTTGTTTGTTTTTTTTAATATTCAGCTCCATGAGCTGTTTATGTATTTTGGAGATTAATCCTCTGTCTGTTGATTCATTTGCAAATATTTTCTTCCATTCTGAGGGTTGTCTTTTCGTCCTATTTATGGTTTCCTTTGCTGTGCAAAAGCTTTTAAGTTTAGTTTCCTTAGGTCCAATTTGTATATTTTTGTTTTTATTTCCATTACTCTAGGAGGTGGGTCAAAAAAGATCTTGCTGTGATTTATGTCAAAGAGTGTTCTTCTTATGTTTTCCTCTAAGAGTTTTATAGTGTCCGGTCTTACATTTAGGTCTCAAATCCATTTTGAGTTTATTTTTGTGTATGGCGTCAGGGACTGTTCTAATTTCATTCTTTCACATGTAGCTGTCCAGTTTTCCCAGCACCATTTATTGATATTGAAGAGACTGTCTTTTCTCCATTGTATATCCTTGCCTCCTTGTCATAGATTAGTTGACCATAGGTGTGTGGGTTTACCTCTGGGCTTCCTATCTTGTTCCATTAGATCTCTGTTTCTGTTTTTGTGCCAGTACCATATTGTCTTGATTACTGTAGTTTTGCAGTATAGTCTGAATTCAGGGAGTCTGATTCCTCCAGTTCCGTTTTTTTCCCTCAAGACTGCTCTGGCTATTCGGGGTCTTTTGTGTCTCCATACATATTTTAAGATTTTTTGTTCTAGTTCTGTAAAACATGCCATTGGTAATTTGATAGGGATTGCATTGAATCTGTAGATTGTTTTGAGTAGTATAATTATTTTCAAAATATTGATTCTTCCAACCCAAGAACATGGTATATCTCTCCATCTGTTGGTATCATCTTTAATTTCTTTCATCAGTGTCATAGTTTTTTGCATACAGGTCTTTTGTCTCCCTAGGTAACTTTATTCCTAGGTATTTTTTTCCTTTTGTTGCAGTGGTAAATGGGAGTGTTTCCTTAATTTCTCTTTCAGATTTTTCATGATTAGTGTAGAGGAATGCAAGAAATTTCTGTGCATTAACTTTGTATCCTGCAACTTTACCAAATTCATTGATTAGCTCTAGTAGTTTTCTGGTGGCAATTTTAGGATTCTCTATGTATAATATCATGTCACCTGCAGACAGTGACAGTTTTACTTCTTTTCCAATTTGTATTCTTTTTTTTCCTTTTTCTTCTTTGATTGCCATGGCTAGGACTTCCAAAACTATGTTGAATAATAGTGGTGAGAGTGGATATCCTTGTCTTATTCCTGATCTTAGAGGAAATGCTTTCCATATTTCACCATTGAGAATTATGATTGCTGTGGGTTTGTCATATATGGCCTTTATTATGTTGAGGTAGGTTCCCTCTATCACCACTTTCTGGAGAATTTTTATCATAAATTGGTGTTGAATTTTGTCAAAAGTTTCTTCTGCATCTATTGAGATGATCATATGTTTTTTATTCTTCAATTTATTAATGTGGTGTATCACATTGATTGATTTGCCTTCATTGAAGAATCCTTGCATCCCTGGGATAAATCCCACTTGATCATGGTGTATGATCCTTTTAATGTGTTGTTGGATTCAGTTTGCTAGTATTCTGTTGAGAATTTTTGTATCTATATTCATCAGTGATATTGGTCTGTAGTTTTCTGTTTTTGTAGTATCTTTGTCTGGTTTTGGTAGTATCTTTGTCTGGTTTTGTAGTATCTTTGTCTGGTTTTGTCTGGTTTTGGTATCAGCCTCATAGAATGAGTTTGGGAGTGTTTCTTCCTCCATAATTTTTTGGAAGAGTTTGAGAAAGATGGGTGTTAGCTCTTCTCTAAATGTTTGATAGAATTCACCTGAGAAGCCATCTAGTCCTGGACTTTTGTTTGTTGGAAGATTTTTAATCACAGTTTCAATTTCATTACTTGTGGTTGGTCAGTTCACATTTTTTTTATTTCTTCCTGGTACAGTCTTAGAAGGTTATACCTTTCTAAGAACTTGTCCATTTTTTCCCGGTTGTCCATTTTGTTGGCATAGTGTTGCTTGTAGTATTCTCTTAGGATGCTTTGTATTTTTGCGGTGTCTGTTGTCACTTCGCCTTTTTCATTTTTAATTTTATTGATTTGAGTCCCCTCCCTCTTTTTCTTGATGATTCTGGCTAATGGTTTATCAATTTTGTTTTTCTTCTCAAAAACCAGCTTTTCGTTGTATTGATCTTTGCTATTGTTTTCTTAGTTTCTCTTTCATTTATTTTTGTTCTGATCTTTATGATTTCTTTCCTTCTGTTAACTTTGGGTTTTGTTTGTTCTTTTTTCTCCAGTTCCTTTTGTGTAAGGTTAGATTGTTTATTTGAGATTTTTCTTGTTTCTTGAGATAGGCTTGTATAGCTATAAACTTCCCTCTTAGAACTGTTTTTGCTGCATCCCATGGGTTTTGGATCATTGTGTTTTCATTGTCATTTGTCTCTAGGTATTTTTTGATTTCCTCTTTGATTTCTCCAGTAATCTCTTGCTTATTTAGTAACGTATTGTTTAGCCTCCATGTGTTTGTTTTTTTTATGTTTTTTTCCCTGTAATTGATTTCTAATCTCACAGCATTGTGGTCAGAAAGGATCCTTGGTTTAATTTCAATTTTCTTAAATTTACTTAGGCTTGATTTGTGACCCAAGATGTGATCTATACTGGAGAATGTTCCATGTGCCCTTGAGAAGAAAGTGTAATCTGCTGTTTTGTGATGGAATGTCCTATAAATATCAGTTAAATCTATCTGGTCTATTGTGTCATTTAAAGCTTCTGTTTCCTTGTTTATTTTCATTTTGGATGATCTGTCCATTCGTGTAAGTGAGGTGTTAAAGTCCCCCGCTATTATTGTGTTACTGTCGATTTCCTGTTTTATAGCTGTTAGCAGTTGCCTTATGTATTGAAGTGCTCCTATGTTGGGTGCATATATATTTATAATTGTTGTATCTTCTTGGATTGATCCCTTGATCATTATGTAGTGTCCTTCCTTGTCTCTTGTAACATTCTTTATTTTAAAGTCTATTTTATCTGATATGAGTTTTTGATATGTCTTATAAAGTTGTCTCCAAGAGAATATTTGTTCTGGTTAAAAATTATGCCTTTTGGAGCTAGGCTGTTTCCTGACACTGCTCCTTATTAATTCTCTGACTTGAGGAAAGTTACCTTACCTCTCTCAAATTCACTTTTTTCCACATGTAAAGTAATAATTTTACTCATGGCTATCTTATGATTTCATTGTGAAGATGTACACTATAAATCTTATTACCCAGCATTTAAGTACTCAGTTTATACATACAATTATTTTACATCAAATAATCAGAATTTTACAATAATCCAAATAATTTATCATATTTTTTACCATTAGTTTTGTTTATGTCACTGAAAATTATCTTTCTACAAAAATTGTTTTAGAGATAATTGAAATATTTCCTCTAAAATTTCTCTATGCAGTTAAATATCAAATCCAGATTTGAAAGGAAATAAAATCACACATACACACACACACACACAAACTCACACACACACACACTCAGAAACACTTTGATGTTGCATGACAGAAAATCTGAGCAACACAAACTTAATGAATATCATGCTTTACCTCTCCAATAATTGCTGTAGTCCCATCTGACTCATTTACCCACACATTTTGTGCAGTTCCCCTTTCATAGGTTTCATATGCTACTCCATTGGCTCGTTTCTCTATGGAAATTGCAGGGTCCTAATAATTGAGAAAAGAAACTATAGAAAGTCAATTAATTTACAAATGTGTAAATAGTAAAAATTAATATATATATAATCAGTTATTACCAAGATGATGACATATTTCTGCCCATGGTCATGCAAATCTTGAACAAATTCAGGGAGGCCATTAAATGCAACTTGATCATAAGTAAAGTCTTTCTTGTCTTCCATATAGTCAATATCAGTGACCTGTGTATCCTGAAAATTAGCAGAGTATATTTCAATAAACAGTACTGAAAGAAGCCTCTAATCACCTCAACCTTTAAGTCCAAAGAATTTGTATTATAAATACAATGATTAAAAAGTAAATGAACTTAGGGCTTCCCTGGTGGCACAGTGGTTGAGAGTCCACCTGGCGATGCAGGGGACACGGGCTCGTGCCCCGGTCTGGGAAGACCCCACATGCCGCAGAGCGGCTAGGCCCGTGAGCCATGGCCGCTGAGCCTGCGCGTCCAGAGCCTGTGCTCCACAACGGGAGAAGCCACAACAGTGAGAGGCCCGCGTACCGCAAAAAAAAAAAAAAAAAAAGTAAATGAACTTAGATCTCTTTTATTTCACTAAAGACACAATGATATTTCTTATAAAACTAGATTTTCTAATTCTAAAGTACAAAAGCATTAAATGATTATTCACACTTGTTTCAGTTATGATCACTGTATATGTATTAGGTCAACATATATACATATATATGTACATATATGGGCTCTTTGTATAAAAAACAAAACTGCACATTACATAAAATACATTAACATTTTATTACATTAAAAAGTATATAAGCTCTAAAAATAAAGTATATTCAAAAAACTGACTATAATTTTGTTCACACTTAAACATGTGTTCTAGTGTAGTATAACTCATAATCAGTTCTCAAAATTCAGGTAGGCCTATACATTGCATATGGACATAATGTGTACTTTATCATTAAAAAAGCAGCTTAATAATTTATATTTATATCTATATCTAGATGGTATATATGATAATCCTGACAATTTCCTAACTTTTTATTATATGACAACATTTAACTTGAAATATATTCCCACAAACCCTTCATCCTACTTACAAATGGTATGCCAGCTTCCCGATTTCTTCGTACCACTTCTTTCACTACATCAAGTGACTTATAATTCCAGCGACTAAGTTGGAATCCAAGACTCCAATATGCTGGCATTGTTGGTCGCCCAATGAGCTTGAAGTAAATGGATATTTAATTAGTCTCAATAACGAACATTAGAAACAAATATTAATGTGCTTCTTATTGTTACATCTCTAATATTCATTTGAGTTTAACTATATATTTTAAACAAAGATTTTGTGTCTGTATTCTAAATGTGTCCTGGATATTCTCTTAGAATTTTGTTATGAAACACTTAGCAAGTTTATGTTCTGTCACTCATCTTTTGTTAATTTTGTGTTAAGAAATCAGAAAGGTAGCACTTAAAATAGTAGCATCTACAAAAGTATATTTTTCCCTGCGTGGAAAGTTAAAAAAGAGAATAAAAGAATAGCATTAAAGAGATATGAGAAAAATAAAATTGTCCCACCACACTCCCACTTCCTGTAGCAACAAAATGAATGAATGAATGATCATCACATAAGGAAAAAAATATGTTTAAAAGTATACAATTTCTATTCCCTTGCATTTTGGCACTTATTTCTCTCTGAGTTTGCAAAAATATTAATAAAATATATTTCTACAAGGATCCCAGGCAGTTATTTCATAAGGTACTTATATTCCCATGTAGGACATTGGTTTCTCCCCTCCACCAAGGACCAAATGGGCCCTTCTCCTCCTACTCTCTGGTGGCTCAAGCAGGCTCAGTGCAAACTCACAACAGAGCACCAGTGTCTCATCACAACAGAGCACAGTATTTTGCACATGGAAAGATGAGTGCAACTGATATTAAGTTTTTTCACCAAAAACTAAGTATTAGGTTACATTAAGACAAATATCTTATTTGGCATGATGGGTTTTCTTTGGTTTAGGTATTTATATATATATATATATATATATATATATATATATATGTTTATATATATGTATCTTTATGTAATATACATTTTTTTGGATCCATGATTTCTTCATCATATATGTCTAAAAAGTGCTATGGGCAAGACGGGAATAAAGACGCAGATGTACTAGGGAATGAACTTGAGGATACGGGGAGGGGGAAGGGTAAGCTGGGACAAAGTGAGAGAGTGGCATGGACATATATACACTACCAAATGTAAAATAGATAGCTGGGGGAAGCAACCGCATAGCACAGGGAGATCAGCTTGGTGCTTTGTGACCACCTAGAGGGGTGGGATAGAGAGGGGTGGAGGGAGGGAGATGCAAGAGGGAAGAGATATGGGGATATATGTGTATGTATAACTAATTCACTTTGTTATAAAGCAGAAACTAACACACTATTGTAAAGCAATTATACTCCAATAAAGATGTTAAAAAAATGCTATGTAAAAATTAAAAAAAATACTCAGTTTATTGTATTCTATTCAATTTAAGCATTAAATTAATTTGTAAAAACTTGGTATCAAATAAAACTCCCCCAAAACTCAGTATGTTTAAACTCTATTCATAAACACCTTATGTTCCATTGAACTTCTTTAAAGATTTGGACATGTGATTGAAATTTCTGTGTGTGTGTATGTATTATATGTATCACATAATTTATTTTCATAGAAGTGTATAAAACATGTTTTATTATATATTATATTAATTTATGTACTATTCATCTTATACCTTATATGTATATATTATCTTTAAAACTTATGAAATGATCTAGTCATTCAAATGCATTATGTTTTAAATTTTGACATACCGGAACCACTAATATATTAATTTATACAGAGAGGATAATTTGCTTTTCTTCAAGCAAGAAGTAGTTTCTTTTGCCTCTCTCTACATAATTTGAGCCCCATTGAAATGCAGCAGTGATTAATAGTGCTATATTCTATACAAGTCATTTATCTTATTCTTTAAATTCAAGCTTCTACAAGTCTGCCCATAAAATGATGTATGAAAGTCGACTGCTATATCACATGAATGCTGCATTCTCATGTCAAACATGACTCAAACTACTGCTCACCACAGACTTCACCCAGAATGTAATAGACCACTATCCCAACTCATACTTCACAAATAAAATACCAAATTCTTACAAAAATATGCTGTGCCCTCTTTTGATGGTGTGATAACTGTATATAATAACTATGATTTCATATTATAGAGACTGTAAATCTTGTTGCCTTTCTGAAATTCACATTTATGAACAGCAATTTGGGAATTGCTAGGCATTGTAAATTATTCAATTGTGTAAAACCCTACCTACACTTATTTCAGGTTTTTAGATCCTAACTAAAGTTTTTGATAGTAATTGCTTCTCTTTTGAGATCATTTTGAAAATGGGACTTATATGTCAAGAGATTTATCAATAAAACAAGATGTTATAAATAGGCACTATTCTTAAATCTTGTATCTATAAAAATGATTTATTTTTCATAATAACACCAGAAATTATATACACTAACAGTCACAGGAGAACAATTTACATGGGAGAAGCGTCTAGAATTAGGTTCAAAATAAGCCTTGGATTCCTCAACTTTCTAAGGTCCATCTTGGGCTCAGGTATACTAAGATGCTATTTAATAGGTAAATGAGAGTTGTTTAGACATAACCTCAAGAAGTTAAGACTTCAGACTATGTTTCAATATCTGTCCTTCTAAGCCTGAGTGTCAGAGCCAATTTTCCTGGAATTTACCTATGGTATATTAACAGCAAGTTTCACTAGCCTTCCTCATAACTCACTTGCCTCTAAGATTCTTATCAAAGGGATGTATGACCTATATGTCCATTACGTATCCTCAGACTTGAAGATAAGATACTTCCTTTTGTTTTATCCCACCAAAGAAGGACATGAATAAGTAAAGATTTAATATGCAACATCTCAAAGGAATCCAACTACTGAACTCACCTACCTAGAAGCAAGAAACAACTTGATATCTGAAATGTAGACATCTAAATATACCTAGGTGTCACTGTATAACAAAAACAAAAATAAAAACCACTTTCTCATGTCTGAAAAATGGTAAGGTTTAAAAATATATTTAGCTAAAAGGCCTCAAATATCTCAGCTAAAATCATTTTAATATGTAGACATGTTTGAAAGTATGGTAGAAAAAATTTTATAAAATAAACCTGAAACACACCTCTTGATACTGTTGAACTACTTGTTCTGGAGTATCTCCTAGAAAAATGTAAAAGTCCAGAATGCCACCTGTAACTCTGTAAGTTACTATTGGAGTAGGCTGGATGAAAATCTCTACAAAACAAAAATTGGAGAAGCATATGTAAATAGTAAACATGTACATGTGATAAAATAATTGCAATGTCTATTTAAAGTACTTTCTATTAATCACATAGTTTTACAGTTTTTTTAAATGGTTAAGATAAGGTATTGAAAATAAGAAAATAGGAGAAAAGTGGAATGCCACCATACATGAGGTTTAAGATAGGATATTCCAGATGCTGCCTTTTACAGATGTTGGCAAAAGCTCCTCTAGAAACTGCTTAGCAGGGGATAGAGGATCCATCTTTTTACAACAAAAATATTTCTTTTCAAAATTGCATTTCAATTAGTTATTTTAATTGAAGATTCTGTGAAAGATCATATTATCACATGTTGATTTCTAAGAAAAAAACTACATAGGTTTTTAATTTGTCTATATGCAAGACATAGTAATTGTCTGTATAACCATATGGTATACAGCTCTTGCTTGAATTTTTGTAGTTTTTACTATCACTGATTCACCTATCCAATTGAGGTATTGCATTATTCACAACGTTAAAAAACAAAAGGTTCTACACTACTTGAATTATGATAAACTTAAAAAAATCATTCTTCTTTCTTTTTATCCCCATATAGACCTTTCTCTTTTTTATCTGGAGGGACATATTAACTTATCTTAACAAATGAGGCTATGTGAATGGGAATATTCATTTGTATGGGAGGGAAAATGAAGTGCCCAAATATCACAATACAGCATACTTTCCCCCAGACAGAAGCACAGATATGCAAAAATCCATGTCTCACTAACTACAAAACATGCTTATAATAATTTCACCTTCTAAATCAGTAACAATAAAGTTTACTCTGGTATACAATACCTATGATTGAAATAAAGAAAGCAGTTCAAACATTTCAAGTCTCATTTAAATATATTATCAGATAAATTACTCTTACCCATTGCATTGCTGTTCATTAAGAAAACACCAAATGACTTTCCAGAAGTATCTTCAATACACATGAAGAATGTTTGATGGCCATATAAATTATTATTATTCTATAAGGCATAAATTTGTTTAAAATAAAAAGATTATACACTGAAAATGGACTTTATGGATTCCAATTTATTCTTGTAATTTACTCTTCATATTTAACTTACTTCCATACTCCTATAACAATTTTCTCTATATAAGTACCATATGAAATATTGTAGCACAAAAAATTATTGAACTTATTTTAATTATTAATACATTAAGATATAAATATATAACTATATATTATACTATTAATAGTGTCCTTTATGTTTTATTATGATTAAATGAGTTTTAATAAGATATTAATCAACTGTACCTCAATTTTTTAAAAAAGCTATCCATGATAGGGTAATAGCATGCTTATTCATGTATGCCCAAGGTATTGCAGGGAATTCCAAAATGATGTCCACCCGCATAGAACTTTTGCAATAAAGTGGTTGAGAGCTGATGAGTAGATCAAGTGGAGGAAAATTGGAAATGAACTTAGAAAGTGAAAGAAGAAAGGCTTCTTGACTGATTGGGTATGGAAGTTCAAAGGAAAGATGTATGAAAATAGCTATGAGGTTTTTATTAGCCTGGGGTTTATTAGGTGTTTATTATAGACAGTGATGCTGTAAACAAAGACTGGCAAAATTTATTAATATTTTTGTACGAAATGAGGGTCTTTAAAACAACTCACATTCATTTTGAGGAATGAAAGAGCATCAGCATTTTAAAATTCATTAACATTTGACTCAAAGCAATCATGAATGAATAAAAAAAGTTTTTTTAATGGTATGGTCTTTATCCCGAAGAGTCGCATATTCTAGAAGTACAGACAAATGTATATACAAATAATACACTGTGATGGTTGTCATATTAAAATATGAATAAAGGGTTAGAAAGTAAAGATTAATTCTGCGTGGAGGAGTTTGGGAAAAGTTCTTATGAGGTGAAACCAACCAAGCTATCAATGACTTGTATAAATAACAAAGAACTTCAAGGTTTAGCACTTACAAAGAGAACCAACCTCTTGTGAAAATATGTGAACTTAAGAAAGATGATCATATATTATGGTAAAGGAAAAAGTGGGTATGCAGGACATGATGGCCAATAGATAGGCAGACACCATATCATACGAAGCCATGTAGAACAAGGTGTTTGGAATTATTCTTGTGCAATAACTAACCCTGGATAGGTTTAAGTACAAGAGTGGAATGATAAAATATAAAAGTGAAAATCAAAAGAAAACATTCATAAATTGGAAATATCTTTTTAAATATTCATAAAATCAGTTGTTCACTTATTTATTTTAGGACTTTGATATCAATCCTCACCCCTAAAGTAAACAAGCTTCTGGAATGTGTATCACTGACATCAAATAAATGATGGTTTCAAATAGGCTAAAATTATCCTCAAATATACCTATTTTATTTATAACAAGAAAGAGAGTGACTTACATCACCAGGAAGTTGATCCCGAGTAAAAATTGGCCATGTTTTCCAATATAAATCATGACGAAATCTCTTATGTATATGTTCCCCAATACCATAAATATATTCACTGGAAAGTCTGGCTGAGATCTGTAAATACTGGTCAGAGTATACCAGTGGACCAATGCTGGTGTCAAACCTGTAGCATGATATAAATAAATTAATGAGCTAGAAAAATATAAAATGTTCTACTAAATACAGGTCTATGTTATCATCCAGGATATTGCATTTTAAATATGTCAGTCTTTAGCTGTGATCAATTCTTAGTAACACATGAATTTTATACCATAACCAGAACTTGTTAATTCCATCAACACAATTTGTTTCATCATCATCAACATGATTCTTCACATGCATTCTCTCCTTTTATCTTCACCAAAATCCTAAAGCATAACTACCATTATAAAGTTCATTTCACAAATGACACAAATTGGACAAATTTATTCATGTTTTCAAGGTTAGGCAGCAGAGCCAAATTTCAGACATAGTTCTGCTTTGCTACAGAGACAGAGTTTTACAATACAGTACTATACTGGTTTCTGCACTTCTAATATATATATTAAAATTAAGTTCAAAATTATTTTTCCAAAAAGAGAAAGGTTACATGTTTTATGCATATCAAGTATATACTATGAGAAATGTTAAACAGCATTTCTTTTGTGATTTAACATAAACTCAATCACAAGATATTAAAATATATTTACAGAAAATAATTGCTGAGATTCAGTCTTGACAATTGTTTAATTAACCTTTCTTGGAGATTCAAGAGCTATAATCTTGAAAGTTATTAAATTCTTTGCAACAAGTATCCCTCAAAATACATTTATAATGAAGGCATTCAGGTAATATTTAAATTAATATATGTATAGTAATTTAAATTTATTATATGTTAATATATACTCAATTTAATTTCATACATATATATGAAAAATCCTCTAATTGAACTATGGAAATACATCACTCTCTGCTTAGTAACTATTTGACACTACAAATTGACAACAGAATATAATAAATAATGGGGAAAAGACACAACAGGAGTTTTAAGTTTGCAAAAATATAAACAAGGCTTAGATTGTATCAGTGATACTCTTCACCTTCAATTTTGGTTGGCCCCATTTCTATACTTTCATTCATGTTCTTGTTCCTTACTTCCATGAGAAATTAAAATCCCTTTAACACTATAATCTTTAAAATATGTACACCCACCCTCTTTTGGAAGGAAATTTAATATTCCTGAAAATGCCCTAAAATTAAGACTTTCATAATTCTATGATAATATAATAAAAGTGACCAATTATTTAATCTTTTATTAATATAAAATAATTACTTACAAAAGTCTATCATTGCTTTTTCTATAAACTTTAATGCTAAATGGATTGTCTGTAACCTTCACATCATACAATGTATCAGAAGCTGCAGTTCCATTAAATTCTTTTACAAACTGATGAGGAACTTCATATCTTCTATTATTTGGATCAGTAATCTGAAAAGATTTTGAAAAAATAGCATTATTTGATTCAAAACTGTTATTTAATTTTTCAATTCTGAACTAAGTATTAAATGTGAGTTCTAAACATGAAATAATAAATTTAATAATTTTATAGATGAGCTATTAATCTAGTCATAAACTTAACTTTAATATTGCTGAATGGATATGCACAGAATAAATTGTAAAGGAATTAATAGAATTAATTGGTCATAATGGTACTATATCAAATAAAAATTTTTATTGACCAATATAAAAAAATAATGATAGTATTACTAAATATTGATTCTTGAATACTGGGTTTTTGTAATTTAATTATCCTTGTTACATTTCAGTGATCACCTGCTTAAAACTCCTACAAGAATTTTGAATTTTGTTTAAAATAAAATCTTAATTTTTGTGAAACTGTGGCTAAAAGGTAATGTACAAAGGATATAGTGTTTTTACTGCCAAATCCAAAAGATGATACTAATAAACTACTTGGTAAAAAAATAGTAGAAATTAATTTCTTTACAATCATGACTACAGCACTCCCTCTTGTGAGAGCACCGGAATCACAGCTAATTAATGAACAGTCATCAGCAGGAAAGC